TTCTATTAAATGCCAGACACTGCACCGTCTGGAAGAGACACCCAGAGAGACCTGCTGAGACCCTGGCGCATTTGTGTCAGAAGTGTCTAGACCAGCTCTTAAGTGGAAACGTAAGCGGCCAAATGAGGGGTGTGTCTCTCGTGTCATGCCACATGCCCACACCTAAAACGCCTTGAAAACTTCGCCCGTTTCGACTGTAGCCAGTCAGCGACTCGGTATATATATTATCAAAAATCGAAAGAATCAATAACCCGTATCCGTTTTCAGCTTTAGCCTGAGCCATTGTCTAATTTATTCATGCTGTTTGGCTATTAATTTCGTATGAAATATTTAAAGTTTTGCAGATGAAACTTGTGGCTCTGTGAAAGCTTCCCTAAATGTGAAATTAAGGCGTAGAAGGCGTTGTAAAGGTGAGTTGTAAGAGAAATATTTTACTCGATCAAGTCAAGTTCGATAAACAATTCAACTTAGGTTTAGAACAAGAAACAAGAGCTATTATTATTATATTTGCATTCAAATCAAAATTGTTGTGGGAAATTGTATTAATTTCCTTTTCACCTTAAGTTAACAAATCGAGTTCAATATTCGAGGAACCTTTTTAAGCCAGCTAAAAAGGTCAAAGTACTAAAAAAAGTAAGAAAATAGAATAGAAAGCTTCTATTGTTGCAGCCTAATAATTAGGTCACTTAACGCTGAGCCGTCTTCAATATATTCAGTCGAGTATTGGCTTAAATTTGCTTTGTAATCAATCTGGAATTTCGCTTGATGTTTTCTTATTTATTTGTGTACCTGTAAAAATCGAATATTTTTGAGCTGTGGCCACCGCAGACTGTTGGAGCCAAAGTGAGGCATCAACCGCAGCAACTGCAGCCACAGCCAGAGGCAATTTTCTAACGGCAAATTTCTAACATTTACCTAGTTACCGTTAATAGACATGTTGGCCAAGTTGAGTGAGAGCCGACGCGACCAAGACATAAATAAGTACTAAGAAAAAGAAGCAGCGATGGAGCTAGCTAGATAGAGTCGAGAGCGTGCGAGAGAGCAAACGAGAGTGCCACACAGTTGATGATGATGATGAAGATGCTGAAGATGTTGAAGATGTTGAAGATGATGAAGTCGATGATGGCGCACATTTCACAGCTTTCTTTGCGCTGCACTTGAGTACATCAGCTGCGACGACAAGCGAAGTCTCTAGAAATTGCCAACGTGCCACGACTGCAACTGCAACTGCCGCTGCCGCTGCCACTGGCACTGCAAATGTTTGTCTGTCATTGTGCTCGTTTTAGTTCAGCAAGTTGGCGGAGAGGGCAGACGCAGTCTTTGGTTAAATGTTTTTGTTTTGTTTTTTTGCTCAACTCTATTAACCGATCAATAATTTGCGGTTTCACACTGGCAACAAGTCGTCGCACTCAGTCAGTCAGTCAGTCCGTCAGTCCGTCAGTTAAATGCAACATCTTGCAGCATTGCAACAATCAAAGTTAATTGCATAAGCCACCCATCGGCAAGTCTCAATAGTTGTTATTTTGATAAAATTACAATTTTCTATATAGCAGTTCCATCTTCTCTACTCCATTTCCACGCTCAAGCGAGAGCAACTTATCTAAATAGTTAATATCTGTTTTGGCATTTCTGGTTATTGTTCAGGCGTTTGTCGGTTGCATAATCCAGCTTTTGGCACATAACAATGCAAAAACAAAAACGAAAAAAAAAAACTTTGTGGCTAATTACAGAGCTATTGCATAAGCCCATTCAACAACTGTTGTATGTTTATATTAAAACAAAAAAAAAGGAAAATTAGTTAGCAAATGAATGTGCTGCGATCAGGTTAATGCACTAACAATGGGCTCATGTCGCTGTTGTTTCGATTCAGCTCTATTAAAATGTCCAAAAGGCAAGCTGCACTTTGGTTTATATTTAATGTGTACTCAATAATGTATATTTAATTTTTATTTATTTTTTATTTATTTTTTATTTATTTTATTTTGTTTTGAGATATTTAATTACTATTTTATTTAGCTGTATCAGGTTTTTCATAGCTATGTATAGCAGAATTCAGTTAATTTGTTATCGAGTGATTTTGATAGCGTCTCTTGAAATATGGGTTTGACTTAAGTTGAGTGTGGCAAGAAGGGAAATGGGAGCAGTAAATTCCAAAGACAATATCTCGATGACAAGAAAAGTCTATCGTCTAGATAACATAATAAATCTTTTTTGAAAAGTATGTATCTTGACCTTACAACATCTCAAATGTACCAAAAATTTCATTTCCTGCACTTTTAGTTGGGCAACTCTTGAAGCTCTGCAGAAACAAAGCAATTCTAGTTTCAATTTCTGATATAAAACTTCAATAAATGTTGACTTATGAGTACAAAATTCTTCTTTTAAGCATCTCAATTTCTGCTGTGCAGTACACAGTTAAAATCAATTCAAATTGATGAGAAAATATCTCAAATAGTTTACGTAAAATCTTAATAAACATATTCACTTTGTTTATAGCTTCAATGGCAACTAAAAATTCATAGAACATTAATAATTATGAAATCATATTAATAAACAAATTAAAATTAAAGCAATATGCCAAAAGCTATTATAATGTACCAGAAAATGTTGTTTAAAAATAAATTTTTATTAATATTATGAGATGGGAGAGCATATGAAAAGCAAAAAGATGTAGACTTGCATAAGATATACAAGATGAAATATCTAAAGTATCAAATCTTTAGATTTATTATTTATTATTATATGATTTATCAAGACTCTTTTGATTTTATAACGATTCCATTTAGCACTTCATATGTCACTCACAAGGTTAGTTGCCTTCTTCACAGAGCTTAGCCAAGGAAACACAAATAGATCAATGTAAGTTCTTTGACTCCTTGACAGCAAACGGATACAAAAGTTAGGCCACAGTGCGAAGAGGTCATAAAATCTAAGATGTATTTCGACAACAACAAGAAACTTATCACATAAATGCAGCAATTATGCTGTTGAGAGCAGACAAAGCCTTAAATGTCGCAAAATACAATGGAACCAAAGGAACTCTTTGATTAAGATGAGTTCTGTAACGAGTCCAGTCAAGCCTTAGGACATCGTGAGAGTCTTGTCAACAGCATATTATGATAATTAATATTCCTGTTAACCAATTGCTATGATTATTACGCAGACATCATTTATCCTACAATGATTAAGGATTAGGACTTACATCATTTTCGGTCGCAGTGAATTATAAACTCAGAGCACGCAGTTCATATCAAATGAACATTGCGAGTGCGTGATGTTTGTCTTAATATAAAAATGATAAGTAAGCATTAGGCAAAGTCGTTGACATTTAATAGAAATGACTACATAAAGCATTTCAATGCTGGCTCGACTGATTCGAGATCAACTTCGAGTTGAGTTGAGTTGTGTAAATAAATATAATTCTATTAAATTATATTAAATATAAAGTTCAAAGATATAAAGTTAAGAATTCACCAATCGAACAGCAAAAGTTGCAAATGGCTAGGATTTCGCTCATTCGCTTGCGACTCTTTAATGGCGGCGCCTCTGTGCGCATTCATACATACACTTAGATATCAATATATGATTATGTGTATTTGTGTTGTCGGCTTGACAACAGTAAAAAGAACAGAATTGCTGGCTGCTGGCTGCTGGCTGCTGGCTGCTGCCATTTTGCTCGGCCTAACGCACGAGCCCCATCCACTGCACAGCCCAACACAATGGTCTTGGGCCAACTCGGTGCCAGAACGGACATTTCCCAACAACAATGGCTACAAATTTTCGGTGGCTCTTGCCAAGAAAAAATGCCAACAGCATTCGAGAAAGGCTGGAGCGGAAGAGATTTGACAGCATACGCAACATGGCCGAAAAATGAGTGGCGACCAAGACCAAGTCGAGAGCCGAGGCAACGCGGCTGGCGCACATGTCGTATGAGTCGTCACTCATACGACAAGGCAGCCCAAAATCGCAATGGCAACGGCAATGGCATCGGGAGTCAACGGCACAAACGCCCCTAAACAGATTTGATAGTTTTTATCGATTTAAGTGGATTCGGCCTAACATGCAAACAGACTCTGCGAAAAGAAATATGTAAAGAGCGTACGCGAGACGGAACGAGCGGGCAAACATCGTCGCGTTTTGTTCGCCTGCTTCTTCTTCTCTTTTTTTTTCTGTGTTTTTGGCAAATGTCGCGGCCTGAACAAATGAGCATTAAACAAATACGAAGTCTGCGCCTTCGGAGCTATCGAGCAATTTGTGGTGTGAATCAGTTGAGCGATATAGCTGATTCGCACAGTGGGCCTTTGCTTGCTTTTTCGCTGCAAAAGTCGTAGCCAGGCTACGTCTATAAAATTGCTCAAGCCTTAAACTGAATTATTAAATATATTAAATTATTATAAATATAACACTATGTCATTTAAATCATTTTATGATATATATAAATATATATAGATACTTATATAAATATATATATATAGATATTATCAAACATTTCAAGCCAAATTACTTAAAAACTGTGCTCAACTAGCTTTATCTCAAGCTTGTAGCTAGCATGAGGAAACGACTGTAAATAGTTCAAATCGCCCCATGAATATTGCTGAAGTTTCCAGCACATGCAAAAAGGAAGTCTGAACACATATCTTTCAAAATGCGCAATAATTATGCCACAACTCAATCGTCGAGTCGCCCCAAAGAGCTCTCTCGCCTACAGCTGTCTACAAATTCTACAGTTGCGTTTCAATAAATTGTATTCTTGATGTTTCTATTCTGATATGGCTTAACTACTTTGTGTCAAGACTTAAGCTGTTTTTGCATTAGAATCTCCACTTGGAGCTATATAAACTGCCTGCTGCTAGCACCTCTAAGAACCCTTCTTTCGTCCTTCAACCAAGCTTAATTACAATAACAACACAAATAGTTAAATAATCAATAAACATCGTATTTCTTGAGCTTTCGTAAATGTTTTGTTATCCGTCACAGTTGATAGCCTTACATCCCGAGTTTCATTTTATCGGTTGTGACTTGATCAATAGCTTTTTATAGTTGTACGCTGTCACCAGTGGTATACCCTTCTTTGGCTTTTCAGCCCTGCCAAACATGTCAACAGAAATGATCGACGGATGATCCTTAACATCATACATCGTTCGTATTGATTGATCTCTTCTTGCCGTTTTAATTTGTAACTCTAGGGTGTGACGCCTGTACTTATGTATCTTGGCACGTCCCACTTTAACTCCTTCGAGCAGCCGTGGTTGTTGGGGATGTCGTCGGATCCATGTCCACGGCTTCTGATCATCGAATGGCTCGTGCATTAATACTGGTAGCATCACACCCAAATATTGTGCTCCCTCGCCTTTGAAAGCCTTCTTCTTTGGTGGTGGTTTTTTCTTAATCAACTGCTTTTTGTTTTCCACAACATCTGAGTACAAGTCTGAAATTTCCGCAATGTCTCTGTTACGACGATCTTGACCAACGCCACCTTTGCGGGCGGAGTTACCTTTACCATGATGATCATCATCATCATAAGTGCCATCAGTACTATAATTACGATCATTTCGATCATCACTAGGATCATAGCTACCACTACGATCATAATTACCATTGCGATCGTAGTTACCATTACGATCACGGTTACCATTACGATCCTGGTTACCTTTGCGATCATAGTCACCTCTGCGATCATAGTTTCCTTTGCGATCATAGTCACCTCTGCGATCATAGTTACCTTTGCGATCATAGTCACCTCTGCGATCATGGTTACCTTTGCGATCATAGTCACCTTTGCGATTATAGTTACCATTACGATCAGGGTTACTACTACGACCGTAGCTACCATTACGATCATGACTACCATAACGATCATAACTTGTATCATCATCATCAGAGCTTTCATCAGAACTTCCATCTGAACTTCTATTTCCTTTTCCTTTTCCTTTTTCTTTTCCTTTTTCTTTTTCTTCTTTTTTTTTATTTTTCTCTTTATCTGAATCTTTATCTGATTCTTTTCCACCGTCTCTATTAAGGCTACGGTTGCCTTTGTCATTGCCCTGTCCCTTGCCTGAATTAGTACCGAATCCCAAGCTAAACGTCGAATTCTTCAAAAACCCCACCAAATCTGTGGTATTGCTATTTCTATCATTCCTGTCAGATTTTAAAAAATTCTTACAAGTTGTTCCCTTCCTGCTGCTAAACATCGCATACTCTGGTCTTTTACTATGCGGCTCTTCTACCTCGCACGGCATATTTAAGTAGTGATCCAATATTGAAACCACTAACTGTTGAATGTACGGATGAAATACTTGGCGAAGATTGCCCTCACGATCGAAAATTCCATCGTAGAGCACACAAGTGTCAGGCCTAACGAACGGCACTCGGCAATGGGTCCAACGCGAACATTTTGGATTAGTTATCTCGCCAAACTTTTTCATAGTTAGCTCAAACATGAATCTGGACACCTGATCGACTGGCTTCTGTACTATGTTGGCCAGGTGCCTTAACATGATTCCATTTTGCAGAGCCCATCGCCTTTCCTCCGAGTGCCAAATTGGATTGAACTGCTTACATTTCCTAGCAGTCTCCGTCTCCTGCTCACAGTTGATCAGTCGAAGAATTCGGTTCTTTGGCTCACCGCAGGAGGAGGAGCAGAATATCGGCATTGAGATTAAAATTTTTAAAGCTTCTATATATTAAAAACGTAATTTTAAAACTGAAGCTCGAAGCACATTGCTGACATTAGGTACTTGAACTCTGACTTTTAAAGCCTACTACCGATAGCAAAAAGTGTTATAGAAAGCATGAGTTTCTCTTGTTGAAAGGACACACGGAAAGATCCACTGGGAAGGATGGTTTTGCTTGCCGCCGATCAAAGGATCGCTTTGGGTTGTCTATGGAGGGCATTTGTCATGAGTAACTCGCAGGAATTTGCCTAGCTTCAGGCTATATTGGTTTCGTTTAAATGTGTGCAACAGTCAGAAATAGGCTTGGCAGTCCACATAAAGTAGATACATTCTTATATCAGGACGATAAGCTGAGTCGACTGCCTGCCTGTCCGTACGTCCTTCCATCCAACCTCATCTGATAGAGGCAATGCGCGCTGTTCGGAGAAATTCTTAGCTCAACTCAGGTGTGGATATCTTAAAGTCGGGCTCACTACTAAATGCTTAAATGTTTATAAGCTTTTGTTAAATACAAGATATAGAGTATATATATAACGCAGATCAGACGGGGTTCAGATTATGTCCAACCAATCAGCTCTTAAACTGCGGAACATACATGGATTCTTTTTCGAGTTGGACCCGAATGTTCCACAACTCTACTATCAGATGAAATGATTATTATTAAGAACTACCTCTCGTGTCTTAAATAGTTAATGTGCTTCATCTTCTGGGTGTCTCAGCATGGAAAAAGGTTTGTAAAATATTGCTGGATATTGTCAGGGCATTAGAAGCCTGATAGTATTACAATTGCAATAATCTTAAGTTAATATATTAAGTTTTATTCAATAAGTTCTCACACCTTGGCTGATGTTAAGATTAAATGTCTGGTTAGTGGATAAAACCGATGGAACGGCTTCTGTACTATGTTGGCCAGGTGTTTTAGCATGCTTCCATTGGTTAGACCCCATCGTCTCTCTCTCTGAGATGCTTACATTTCCTAGCAGTCTCCGTGTCCTGCTCACAGCTGAGCGCGCGAAGTATTTGACTGTTTGTGGCTGGCCGCAGAAAGGGGAGCAGAATATCGGCATTGAAATTAAAATTGAAAACCGTGGTGCGTATACTTAAGGAATTTTATTTGTTATGACTCATTGCTAACTAAAATCTGTATTAGTGACAGCAATACATTTGCTCTTCCCATGATCTCCTACTATCGACGGCAGCGTATGACCTGGTACTGTAAACAATCTGTGTGAGGTCCATGCTGTGGACCAATATCTCAGTAGCACATAGCACTGTTAACTTAAGTTATGGGACGACATGCTCTGATATCCAGTGCCGAGCACTTAAAGCCTGTGCGGATTATGCTTCCAAGCGGAGGATTGTTGTCGTTATAAGGTGCGTGGTATACTATGAACACACGATCCATAGTTGGTAACTTAACATTGTTATAACGCTGTAGCAGTGTTTCAGATTTCATATCAAAGGGCAAGTCCCATTTTATTTGGGGCTCTTTTGTAATGCCCATGCTTGGCCACAACACCGAATAGAAGCTAGATATTTCTGCTGCCAACAGAGTTCTCGCGATATTGATGCTTTAGAGGATCG